GAAAGATTTTCACTATTATGAATCAAGAAAGAGAATATACAACCAGATGTCAAAACCCCACACACTCACTCGTTATCTTTTTCGAGGTTAATCTATACACTCAGGCATATACTCTCCCTTCTCCTCATAACACTCACCCTTAAACGCCTTACATCTTTTCTCTTATCTCTCTCTAAACCTCTCACACTTATCTCTATTTATAGAGTCTTCAAACCCAATTTTTTGTTGGACAAGTATTCCTTAAGTTGCCTATAAAGAATTACCATATCAGTTTTCAACTCTTAAATAGCAATCTTCTAGCTTGCACATCCAATTAGTTCAATTTTCTTGAACTGGTTCAATTAGGGTTGCATGTCCAACCGGTTCAAGAAAAAGTTGAACTAATTCAATCATAACCACTTATACTAGAACATTACTCGCACACCGAATTCGAGCCACAAAACCTGACAAATTTATTCCAATCCGATAGGTTTTCACATTATCATACCCTTAACGAGACTGATAAGCGCTGAAAAGTGCGCAATTAAACCCCTCAAGCTTAGGTATTCTAGGACCTTTATCTATCTTGATTTCCCGTCTTAGACTAATTTCGTGTTATTGCCCTTTTTAGGTACTTATCCCAAAAATAAGTTAATTTAGCCAAATAAGAGCTTAAAAGAAGCAATCCCAAGCTGAATGGAAGAAATGAGCAAAGTGGAAGGAAAATGAAGCAAAGTATGGAAATCAGCAAGTTCGATCGATCTCAATATTCCTTCGATCGATCAGAGTAACATCGATCTGGACACTTCAAGATGGATACAAGCAATTGGCCTTATCCAAAAGATCTCAGCATGTTCGATCGATCAAAAATATTCGATCTTATCCACACCTACCACCCCACCTACCACTCTCGTCTCTTTCCCAAAATATCCCAAAATATCTCAAAGATTTGTCTTTATTCAAAAAGGCTCCACCAAGGATAGATCGATCTCTGCAGTATTCGATGGATCTCACCTCAGTTCGATCGATCTTAACATAGTTCGATCGATCGAACTCTCTCAAGTGCGAATTAAATCAAATTCCAGCTTATCAAAAGTTGTCTTATGGTGCAATCATTGCAAAGACCCTAGTGCACAAATCCAGACCATTGGGTGTGACACTTGAGCCTTCTATATAAGGATTTTGAGCCATTTTTACACAGAGATTGGAAGATCTTCAATACACACATACTTAGAAACATTCTCAAAGAGAAAGAAAGGAAAGGATGAGAGGCTAGAGACACATTCTTGGGAGTTCTTCCATTCTTCTAGGGTTTCCATTAAGAAGGAGGTCATTCCTACCATAGAGATAGCTCTTGAGGGTTGGATGACTACTTCAATGAGTGGCTAAACATCTTCTTGGGGCTAGAGTTAGCCCTAAGCATGCCTTCTGGACTCTAATGCTTTGTATTTTGAGAAGATTTGTGTTGTAATCTTGTCTTGACATTTATTTTATATATGAATCTTGTTTATTCAATGATTTGTGTGGTTTAATACTTCTAATTGATCATTTCATTCTATCCATATGTCTATGTATGCTAGAATAGATGTTCATGTGTTTATCTCTAGTTTTTGTGTTATTGATGCATGTCTATGTGTGTTAATGCTATGAATCTAGAGATTGTCAAAGCATAGTGCTTAACAGAATACTATTGTGGTTTATTTGATGGTTCATACTCATGTCTTAATGAATTGTGCCTCTCCCTTAGTCTATTTAGTTAATTTTTATGCCCTTAGCTTAGTTGTAGTGTAATTGCCTTAGTTGTTAGATGAGAAGACAATCCATGCTTGTTGTTTAATGTTCCATGCTTATGAATGCAAGTAGTATTATTCTCTAACCATGTGATGTGTTTGGATTGTGAGCTTAAAGGAAGGATTAATGGCTTAGTTTGATATATTGTGCTATTCACTAGGTTGCTTAGATAATATATGCTTAATTAGTCATCCATGCTTGTTGAAACAATCAATCACCCACTCTCAGATTGCAACACATGTTTCCCTTCATTAATTATACATTGAATGTCTAGAATGGTGATGTTTAGTGGTGACCTCTAGACACCAAGGCCTCACTCTCTTGTTTTCTCTAAATTTCATTCAAATTTCTTATTTTACATTGAACTTGTTTAGTTTAGCTTGTAGTTTAATCAACCAAACACACCACATTTTGATCACTCAACCTACTAACTATATACATTGTTTCCATTGCAAGCATGCCTATAATCCCTTGGGACGATCCCTACTCACCCTAACTATATTTTTAGTTAGAGGTAGTAGTGGCTTTTATAAATTTAAAACTTGGCCACATTACACACTCATACTCTTATTGCACATTTTAAGGGTGCTCGAGCCTAACCAAGGGTGCTCGAGCCTTGATAAAGCTCGAGCACAAGGCGTCAAAATTTGAAGAGTTAATTTAATGAAAAATTAAGCTCCGAGGGCCTCGTGCTTAACCTCAAGGATCGAGCACTATTACCCAAAGCTCGAGCCTTGAGTACCTAAAGCTCGAGCCTGGTACCTAGTGCTCAAGCCCATGAAGCTTGGATCGAGTAATGTTAAAAGAGATGAAGCCCGAGAATGTTCTAAGTGTTGAAAAAAAAGACACTTCAAAAAATAGTTGAAGAAATTTGGCTAAGTGTCAAAGTGAAGATCGAGCACCAATCCTTGAAGCTCGAGCACCAATCCAAAGAAGCTCGAACTTTGTTCCCAAAGCTCGAGCCTTCCATGACATGTCAGATTTAAGTTACGGGATTGCTCTCTTTACAAGTCGTATCTCATCCTAGATGGGCCAGAAGACCTAAAAGCCCACTAAGCCTTTATTTTCTTCTATAAAAGAAGGCACAGCCTTGATAGAAGAGGTCCCTTTTTTCTCGTATTATTTTAGAAGGCTAATACTGTGGTGGTGGCTTTTAGGGTTTCCACAACCTTAAAAGGTGAAAATCCTGAGAAGAGAAATGTCGTCCATGACGATGGAGATGACTCCAACACAGATGATATCCAGCATCATCATGAGTAGCTAATTCCTCTCTTAGGGTACTGATGTAACCCAATCTAGTATTATGGTTTGATTGCTCTTAACTCTAAAATTATTTAATGTATATTATGTTTTTGATTATATGACTATGAGTAATTGAGACAACTCAATTGGATTTAATGCTTTAAATAGATTACAAATTGTTATTACCTTGTCTTAGATATAACTGTTTGTTCTCTATTCTCAACCAATTCTTATTGGACGGTATCTGGCGGAGCCCTACCGGACATGATAAAAGAGGTCAAATAATGGTGTTCCAATATTTTTATAAAAGAATGTTTTCATAGTCTATGCTTAGGAAAAATGGATTATTTGCAAAGTAGTTAGAGTAGGTAGGTGGATAGTCCATATTAACCGCAGATAAGTTATTTAACTGAATTTTATAAAATATTTTTCTTTAAAACCCGAATTGAATGAATGTTATTGAGTTCAATTCATTTAAAATATAATTTGTTAAATCCCCAGAGTTGAAACAATTAACTATAATATAATGATTGTGGTGAAGTCAAAGCCCTAAGATTTCTTTCTGATCACTTAGTTTAATTTAGATTAATTTTAGTTTAATTTCTGTTTTTAATCGTGACAACCAAACAAACAATTCAACCAGTTACCTGTGAACCAATAGGAATTAATTAAAGGCTGAACATAAATCCTCATCTCCTTGTGGTTCGACACCCTCTCTCTATAGTGATATCCTATAAGGATTCGTTCTATTGCGAGTGGTTATTTATTATTGACACAACACCCATCTCGATTATAAATAATATTATGAATATATCCCTATTCATATTCTAAACTACACAAATTACCTTTCTATATATATATCACAGGGGTTCATTGTCTCAAAATATTTTAGCTTCACCTATCTCACCAACCCTTGCCTTTGAATCTCTTCAAAGGCCTACTTAAATTATATAAGAACTTGTTTACCGAATAAAATAGGATTAGAATTACAAGCACGATATACTAATATTTGAAAATCTAATTGGTTAACAATAAAAAAAATTCGAACTAAACGATGAAAAATTTAAATCCTTAACTATGTATAAGGCTTCAAGGCAAGCTCATATACTCGATGACTAATGATAAAAGATTAAAATTATAAATATATATCTTCTTTATTCAAAATTTATAAAATAATACAAACATGGATAACAAATATTCAAATTTCATAACCAATTACAAAAGGTTCCGTTAACAAATCAATTAACCGAAACTAATATATATATCTTTATTGGTGGGGACACTATGGCCTGTTTGATGAAAAATGAGAACCACTCTTGTTAGGACCCGCCCGATGCAATGTAGATATTGTGTGGCAGTGCGCCATTTTGGCACTCACGAATTTTAAAATGCGTTTACACAGTTAACTAGAAAGCATCTCTTCTTATGAGTGTTAGCAACTTCTCCTCCCTAAGAAAATGTCAAGGGTCACAACTCCCACAATAATTGCACTATCAAATTAAGCCAAGCTTACTGTAGAGTAAAAATGTCTTTGAATGGGGTTAATGTTGTTTCAAAATGATGCGAAGGTTTTAATCTAATGGATGATACTAGATTTAAGGTGTTGATTACTCAATTCAACGCTTCATTTTGAATGGATTAAGCGTTTATCCAATTAAATGCGTTTAATAACTGAAAATGGTAAGTGCCACTTTGAATATTACTTAAAATGATAAGTATCACTTAAAATGGGATAAAATTTTAAGTGACAGAGACATCACTTAGGGCCTGTTTGGTTGGTTGGTGTTCTGTTCTGTGTTGTAGTGTTCTAGGCCCGCTACAGTAGCACTATTGAGGCCCAAAACATGCTTGGCACAGGCCTGTGTTGGTTCAATAGTGCTAGAACAAATTCATTTTTTGGGCCAAAACATGAAACAACAAAATGGTATTCGAGCATGTTTCAAGTACTGTTTAGGCCATTACAATACTGTAGCGGAGGCTACAAAAATCCACTTATTCCAACTTCTGACTTCACGTATAAAAGGAAAGTTGGAACATTTTAGGGTTTAAGGCAGCAGTGAGCGTCTGGCAATTCCAAGGCGATTCGGTTTCAAAGGGTAAATCAGTGCGATACAATCATTCTGCGACCATAAACGACATCGATCAGTCCCTGATTTCGTATTCTCTTAAAAGAACAACCGAGGTTTGTGCAACCTTCCATTTCTTCAAAAAAAAATTTACTTCTTATCTCTGTTTTTGACTGATTATTGTTCGATTTGAGCTTTTATGTTGAAAGTAAACGACTTTGAAAAAGAAGCCCTAATTTATTTAATTTTTTCCTTAAATAACGACCTAAAAACTGTTCTGATGTGTTCGATTTAAGAAAAACCGTAATTTTTGTACTACTCGTCTTCTAATAAACCCTATTTGATATATTTTTTAATTTTTATCAGACAATTAAGTTCCATGTATTCCATTCCTTAATTATCTGCCTCTATCTCCTAACTTTTGTACTTAATTATGTCATAAATTAATTAGAGGATGTTATAATCGTGTGAGTCAATTTTAATTGCTTTCCTTTGATCAACAATGTATTTCTTTATTATGGAATCGTATGTCTCTAAATTACTTTTTCAAGTTTCTGCATTAATTTTTTATTCTATGAAAATTTATCTGAAGCGTGTCTTATGCATTGAGATCATACTCATAGGAAGGAATGTCATATGTGTTTGAGAATACTGTTTTTGGTTGGTGGGATGCTATATCCATTTAAGTAGTGTAGATTAATGTTGTGGAGAAGAAACTCAAGCTCTTTCTTATAAGTGTTATATATATATATATATATATATATATATATATATATATATGAGAAAAGAGAAGAAAGAAAATAGTATTCAATTTGGTTTGAGTTTATAAACAAACAGACATGTTCAATCTAATGCATATACATCCTCTAATTAATTTATGGATTATTGATTACTTATGGATAGTAATCAATTTGGTTTTGATTAAAAAATGTTCGATTAATGTAGATGGTTTAGTGAGAAGATTCATGGTATATTATGATGCAGTTGAACATAATGGTAACAATTTGAATATTATTGTGTGGCAAATTTTGTTATGGTTTAATACATATAAGTCGTAAGATGGAAAGATATTACAATATATATATCTACATATATATACATATATATATATACAGTAGCTAAAACAAGTAAAAATTACTTTTGTTGCACAAACTTCTTCTTTATTATTATTATTATTCAGTTCCGGTTAGTATTTTATTACAATTCCATAATGAAATTATGTCATTAAGCAATCTAATTAATAATTCTACAATCATTAATCTCTTCTTTAAACAAACAATTTTACTTAAATCTATTAGCAGAACTAGTCATGTATGTAACTTCTCTCTACATATATATGTATGTGAATTAATATATCATTTTACTTTATTCATTAACTGCCCTCTTTTTTAAGTGAGAGCAGTTATTTTTTTTACTTTTTTTTTTCATATTAGTTGTAATATAGAAGCATTTCAACCACATTTTAATGAGATTTGCAACATGTTCCTTCATGGCCTGTGTAGTGTTCATCCCTGTGTGTGTGTGTGTGGGTTATAGTGGTTTTGTTATGAATTGAAATTATAGTCCTTGATAAAATCTGAATGTAGTGATGGGAGTTAGATGGGTTGATATAGATGACATGTGTGTATTTTATTTATATATATAGTGCATATACTTGTGTGTATATATGTATATGTAAATTGTGAGGGTCTAGATTTTGTAGCCACCAGGACTTAGAAAGATGTGTTTGACAGAGCTTGTATATGCACTAGATTGAACCTGAAGTAGATCAAGCTGTGGTTTTAACCATTGCAGGCTAAATTCTAAGCTTTTATAGAAGTTTAAAATAAAATAAAACAATGTACCAGAAAAATAGTAAATCCCTTTACAGGCAACACTAACCTGCACTGAGTTGAACTATCATGCAGAGATGGTTGTCTGTTCTACTTGAAAACTTAGGTTATTGGGTAGATCAATCTAATCTAATTTCAGTTTTATAACCCATGTATTTAGTTATAAGTCTAATTAGATGGAAATGAATTGTGAGAATGGTGGAATTCCTTTATGGATTTTAAAATGTTGCTTAGACATATTTGTTATCTTGTTGCTGCTGAGACTAGCATATATGATCCACCCATTGTGACTTCTTGACTTGTGTACTGCTAGAATGATGAAACATGAGTTTATGAATTTGATTAATCACCCTTTTAACCCATTCATATTAAAACTATGTAATTAGATGGATATTAATGGTGACAATGTGGTGGGAGAAGAAATAGAGAACCTTACAGATAATACCGATGATGCAAAACTAGTATGGGATGATTCTCAGCTCAAAGCTTTCATCATTTGTATGGAGGAAGAAGTGAGCACTAGTAATCAGACTACAGAAACTTTTAGCACAATTGGTTGAAAGAATATAGTAGAATGCATGAGGATCCGTACAGGGAAAAAGTATGCACCGAAACAACTTAGGAGCAAATTCAACCATGTGAGGGTAGAGTACAAAACCTTTGTGAGTTTGTTAGCAGAAACAAGCATAGGATACAATGCTAAGACGGGCATGGTTATTGTTGAAAATGAAAGATGGCATAGGTTAATGAAGGTTAGTTATTCAAATAAATGTATGTTGATTTTACAAACGTAGACTAAACTTAATATTAATAGTACTTTAATAATTTGTAAGTGAATAACCAATTTGGTAAGTTTCGAAAGAAGGGATGCAAGCATTTTGACAAGCTTACCACTATATTTGGAGGCATACACACTATAGGTGCACATGTCCATACTTCGACTAATCCACCCATTATCAACCAAGCCCCCTCACACCATGCAGCCATACATAGCTTATTTGAAATTGATGATTTAGTTGAGTTAGACGGTCATGAGATCAGCCCTTCTCCTGAACCTCGTGGTAAGAAATCAAAGAAAGAGAGTTTTTCCTCCACAATGAACGATGTCATGGTGCAAATGAAAGACAATGCTAACATGAAATGTGGTCGAATTGAAAAGGTAATAAAAGAAGCTTCATCAGCTAATATAAAAACAGTTGTAGAGGAATATCAGGTTGAAGTAAATTCTCCGGATAAGACAAAAGGTGATTTTAAGTTATGTTGTATTATTTTGAATCGGTTGGAGGGCGTTGATATGAAACAATATGCTAAGGTCACCCAGATGTTACGTAATGATGAAGTTTGGAGGGATTTCTTTCTGAATGACCTTCCTGATGATAAGAGGGTTGGTTGGATCATGAATCTTTGATTTAGTGTGTTGCTTTTATTATAACTTTGGATGACTGTACTATTAAGTATACTTTATTTGGTGTGTTACTTTTATTTCTTATTTGGTTTTGTTATGACTTTGAATGATTGTAATATTAAGTGCACTAGTATTTGGTTTGGTATGATTGTAATGACAATATCAGTATTTCGCTTGAGATGATTTTATTTGTTGTCTTACTTTAATTTCTTATTTAGTATTTGGCTTGGGATGATTATAATTTATGTCATTTCTTACATTTTGTATTATACAGATGGATTAGGACAATCATTGAGTTGTATGATGATGATGATGAGAATGAATGTGTCATCATAATGGCATGTATGTTGGATTACTATATAAAACATTACCATAAACAACCTTGTAGGGATTCAATTTTAAGAGGGGAAACATATATATTAGAGATCTTGAACGGGCATGGAAGTAGATGTTTTAAAAACTTTAAGATGTCCACCCCTGTTTTTTTGAAGTTATATGGGGAGCTTAGGTCATTAGGGTTAAAAGACTCTAAAGGTGTAAGTGTTTATGAACAAGTTGGCATATTCTTGCTTATTTTAGCTCACAATGAAAAGAATCGTGTGGTAGCAGAAAGATTTCAACACTCTACCTATACAATTTCAAAACACTTCCATTTGATTTTATAAAAAGTGTGTGATTTAGGGAAAAAGATTATTGTCTCCCTAGATTTAATCCAAGTTCCTAACCATATAAGGAAGTAAAAAAAATACTACCCTTTTTTTAGGAATTGCGTAGGCGCAATTGATGGAACTCATATCCATGCGAACGTGCCTGTGAACCAGCAAATACCATTTCGTGGTAGGAAGGGGAATACCACACAAAATGTAATAGTTGTTTGTGATTTTGATATGATGTTCATGTACATTGTAGCAGAATGGGAGGGGTCTGCTAATGATTCTAAGATATTGAACGAGACCATTAATAATGAGGATACGCATTTCCCACAGTCTCCAGGCGGTAAATGTCATACTTCCTACAATTTTGTAATAGTTATTTTAAATATAATGGTACAATTGTTTATAGTTTGTAAAATGACAGGAAAATATTATTTGGTAGACTCTGGATAAGCCAATCAACCGGATTTCTTGGCTCCCTACAGGGGTAAACGGTACCACTTCCAAGGGTACCGTAAAGCTTCTAAGCAACCCTGAGGTAGAGAGGAAACATATAATCATAGGCACTTGTCTTGTGAAATATCATTGAGCGTTGTTTTAGGATGCTTAAGATGAGATTCCCCATCTTGAAGCAAATGCCCCCATATAAGTTTAAAGCTTAGGTTGTTATTGTTTTAGCCTACTGCATACTTCACAACTTTATAAGAAAGAAGGCGCAAGTAGATACAATATTTGATGATGCAACTATGGAGGCGCTGATAGATGAAATATTTGAAGATGAGAATGATGATGTTCAGGTTAATGTGTCGTAGTCTCGGTCACGACTAATGAATATTTTACGTGATCATATTGCTAATACTATATGGAATACAATTCAGCACCCTTGAAATTGTATTTAGATGTTTATCATGTTTGGATAACTGTAACAACTACTTTATTTTAACTATTTGTTAGGATTTTGATAACTGTAATAACTACTTTATTTTAACTTTTTTTTACCCTTTTGATAAATGTAATAATTTGTACCAAGTATATTTTAACTTTTTTTTTTAAGATTTGGATAACTGTAATAACTACTTTATTTTAACTCTTTTGTTACGATTTGGATAAATGTAATTACTTGTACGAAGTATACATTACACATTTTACCACTTATATATGCAGTCATGTATAAGATACAGGGTGACGGGCCACCTTGTGCATGTGGAAGGGGTCGAATGAATCTTTATACGGCTGGAATTTCAAAGAATTATGGACGTCCATCTATAGATGTCCAGCTTAGGAGGTATATGTAATACCCCGTATTTTATTAAAGAGTTTAGTTTATTTAAATTAATTAATATGTAGATTTCTTTACCATTATTATATTGAGTTCATTTAATTGTGCATGTATTATTATTAATAATTTTATTTATTGATTATGTTTATATTAAGCAATATTAGTTAATTAAAGTACTATATTTGTGATATAAAGTATTATTATGATATAATGTATTCTTATGTAATAATAATAATAATAATAATAATATAATAATTATAAGGATAATAATAGAAATAATATTAATGATCTTATTAAAACAAAGTCATGATGTATGTTTGAATAGGATGATTTCATTTATGGTTAATTGGGGACTTAGGGCCATTGGCTTAATGTGATATAGGTAGGGAGATGGGAAGGTGGAAAGTTAATGGAAAATTGACATTTTAATATTTATATTATATAAGTTAGTTATATATATATATGTTGCTACCATGGATTAGTTCACATACGTAGAAGTAAGAAATAATATTGTGGGCTATTCTGCAAGTGTGGAAAAGAATAGAAAGAGAGAGAGCAAGAAGCTGGTACCGGTGTAAGCAATTTTATCCGATTTCGCGCCACCGACGGATTTATTTAAATCCTAAAAGGCAAGTTATTATCTACTATTCCCCTTTGAATTCATAAATTAATTGTTTAGATTATTTAAATAATTATAGAGCTTAGAGATCATGCTAGGAAATTTATTAAATTAATTTTTTATTTATTAAAGAAAGGAAATTTTAATTATTAAAGGTGGTAGATAATTATTTTATGGCCTATGTAATCAAAATATAGCTAAAAATAATTATTATGGCCTTTGGGATTTTTTTTAGAATTTTCTAGAATTTTCCGGTAAGTTTCTGCAATTTCCGGCGACCTTTCGGCGAGTTTTTCGGTCGCCGGCAATGGGGGAGATGACCGGAGGGATCCGATGTGATGCGGCGTACTGCAGGTTGGTGTGCGCGCACATCCTGGCCATTGGGAGTGTTAGATTGATCCGGTGCATCGCGGTCCATGTTAGCGCGATACACCCGGATCAATAACCGTTGGATTAGGTGTAAGATGATAGATGGATCCGGTGTAGCGCGCCTGCAGCAAAGCACATGCAACCAACGAATTAGGATCCGCCACGTCTGCAGGAGCCTTCAACGCGCGCGTGGACGATGCCACACGCGCGTGGCGGCGCTTATGGGCGCGTGAACGGGTGGGAAACCTAGGGCTACGCGTGGGGAACCTCTGGGAGGCGCGTGGGGGTGCGTGTGGGACCCCTGCAGCTACTGGAAATGACCAGAATACCCCTAGGGCCTGTTTTGTAAATTCCAGAACCTTAAACTATGTTTTTAGGGCCGGTGTCGGTATTTACAGGTTTAACGGGTTACGAAATTATTATTTTATTACCCGTTAACTATTATTATGGCCGATTAATATTTCCAAACATTAATTGCCCCGTTTACAGTACGGATCGCTATTAAATGAATGTGATTAATTTAATAACACCGTCATATACTAATTGTGTTATTAAATGGTATTTAATCATTAATGTTACGATTCCATGGTTAGTCATGTAAATTATCCATTATATATTATGGGATGTTTATACTGTTAATCATATATAAACCATGATTATTATGCTGTGTGCATTTCAGAGAATAAATGGACTGTTTAAATTATGTCGCATTTATATTATATGGATGTATTGCCATATAGAACCATGTGAGCTGGTTAATAAGTTTAGACTCATTTATACCTTATGCATTCGTTGCGATAGACAGATGTGTGGCTGTTGGGGTATGTGGTTTAATATTATTGGCATGTGTTGCCTAATTGACATACTCGGTATATTTATTAATATTGTTGGCATGTGTTGCCTAATTGATATGCTCAGTATATTCATTTATACATGGAGATGCGTTACTACTGTGTAGTCTTTACAGTCTGTGTTGTCAGTACCGTGTACCATATATAATAGCTGATTTTCCGGGTAGGGAAAGGAGACACTTAACCACCTAGTGTGAGTCTAAGTGATCACCGTCTATTCTGGTTGAGGTCATATTATACATTGGGTAGTTCCCTTAGGATGTATACAGATATAGTACTCATCCAATTCATAATGATTAATTTATTTGATTATCTGATTTGGGTCACAGTAGAGAGGACTTGCTCGTGGGGATGACCCACCATTGTTGTTATTTCAGGATACGGTCAGTACCCGTTCCAAGGTTGAGGTTAGCAGTGTGGGACCACCATCCGAACTCATCTACTCTTACGATCTAGTTCAAGGTAGAAGTTTTATGTATTACTTCAGTTTCAGTTTTTATTTACTTTTGACGTTGAACTCTCAGATTTATATTTAGGGATCCTTGACATAGGATTTCCAAGTTGTAATGGAGTATTGTATTAAATAAAGGATGGATGGATGTTGTATTATTTAGTGTTCCTTTCCTGTCTAAATTCTTTTATTATTATCATTTTGTATTCCATGCTTGTATGTTGCCAATTGTTTTTGATATCCCTCGTTTTTTGTGTATAAGCCTGATCAACTTATGCGTGGAAAATGTGGGGGTGTTACAGTATACAATCCTTTGCATTAATAATTTTTTACATTACACATGTTATTATCACATGGGCATTATAATAATATACAAGTCTTTGATATTTTAGTCACATGCTCGTTCATTTATATGGTTGGATGACATGCACCAACATCTTCAAGTGGGTAGTCATGTGGAGCAAGAGTTGGAGGGTGTAGTCGTTGTTATGCAAGCTCAACAAAATAGGCAAAACTACATTATCTATGGTGGCTGTTGTTGTCTTACAATAAATATATTATTTATGTTATTGCTCATGTTATTGTTGGTTATTGTGGTTATTGATAAATGATGTAATATATTAGTTCAATTTTACTTCATGAACTTTTATTGTGACTACTGACAAGTGTTAACAATGGATTTAATATTTATGAAACTCATGTCTGTAATATCTTCAAACTCATGTAATGTGTAATATGTTGAAAGTTTATTTCAGTTCGATATTGAAACAATGTATTCTACAATTGTCAAAACAATATGCAACATTCATAAATTTTACAATTTATAATAAATTTTATTAGTTTTTATAGATTAGATATAAAATATTGTAAACTAAAACTTAAAAAACTAACATAAAAAAAAATTATTAAAAGTTATATCAATTTTATAGTAAAATTATACAATAATTAAATTTTAGTTTATATTTAATAAAATTATAAATAATGTATTGATGCAAACACTCTTTACCAAACATATTTCATGTTTTTATTTCAGTGATTTTAGCTACACTTTTACTCAGCTAAACATATTTTGTTCTCATATTTCTTGAAACGAAATATCTTGCCAAACATGTTTTACCATGTTTCTGTTCCAAAATTTTCACTACAAATTTTCGTCGCCAAACATATTTTGTTCTCATCTCAAAACACTCTATTACAACACACTTGTTCTGTTCTAAGCTAAAACAAAATGTCTGAGAACACAACGCATACCAAATGGACCCCTTATACTATTTGATAACTCAATTTAACGCTTAATACAGAATGGATTAAGTGCTTATTCAATTAAGTGCATTTGATAATGTAATTTAAGTATTACTGAAAATGGTAAGTACATGGAATAACTTTTTTGTGACAGAGATATCACTTGTTATCACTTGTTACTTAATGCTAAACATTAAGAATTAAAAAATATTTATATTTTAATTCTTATTTAAAAACTTCAGTTCTAAAAATTTCATTACTTAATTAACTATTTTTGTTTTAAACAACTTTAATTTTTTGTTTTTCTTAGAGAAACTAAGAAAAACAAAGTAGCTGCAATATCAAGGACAGGTTTCATTCTTTTTCGTATCACTAAAAACATAAAATAGTTCAAAATTTACATTTCTAAAACATTACTCAATTTCACAAAATAGTTTTTCATTAGATCTCTAAAAATATTCACAAAAGTCTTTCTAAAATATTTTTGAACTAAAATGCCTAAATTGCCCTCTATATTTTTTTTTTACTAAAGGTCTATGTGGACTTGCCTTATCCCCAAGACAGGCTAGATAGCCAATACGTGTGTGTAATAGAGAGAGGAATGCCAAGACAAGTGTGAAACTGAAAGGGCATTGGTACATTACTGTTGGAGAGTATAGAAAAAGGCGATGTAAAAGCTAGTAATATTTTTCATGACGTGTTTGACCCGCCCATGTGGTATCAACCAGTAATTCTGTCAGTCAAAACTTGGTCAATTCACACACAAAAAAGATAGATCCCTTTCCTCTTCTTTCCGGCATATTTCTCCTTTCTAAATTCCTTAATATATATTTTCACTACTAATTTATGAGTTTAATGATCACTTTCTATCTTGAGTACACACACTATATAAAATAGTGAATAATTTTTTTTTTATGAAACACAATACGAGAAATAAAAATTGTGTTCCACAAATGTCGTGGGATCGTATAACACAATTCAACTACAATATTTTATTAGTGTCATAAGTCTCTCTTTTGAGCATGTTTAAAAGAATCACTAGCAAATATAAATTGTATTTTGAAAATGCATTAAACATAAACTATATTTTAAAATTTTACTAAATCGGTAAAATTTCTTATTTTGAATTCATGACTTTCAAATTAAAATATTTTTTTAAAAATATTTTTTATTATATACTAAGTGTATTAAATAATGATTATACTAATAATTTTGTTTGATTTGGTCGAAATCAAACTATTGATAAATTATTCTATATTTTTAAAATATAAATTGAATAAAATCGTAAAAAAATAAAACCAAATTTACCATTTAACAATTCAAATGATTTTTTATACACGGAGCAATCTTATGCTAGTCTTGAACATTAAAATTAAAAATATATATATATAAGAAATTTTTATTTTTTTTCAAAACACAAAAAGTGGGACTAAGATTGTAAGTTATGGTGCGAGTAAGTAAACTGTTAGCAAAGGACCAAACAGTGTGTGTATGGGGAAAGTTAATGGCTTTGAATACTAAAAAGGTGGAGAAGAAATCGGTCGCTTTCAATATTATCCATAAGACTCCTACCACCCACAGAAGCACTTTGAGTGTCAGTTACGATACTGTGCATAACTAGGAGCCAATTCAGTGCTTCCCTGAAATTTTGTGATTTTTAAAATTATCTTTTTATATTTTTTTTTACTCTTTAAATTTTTTAAATTTTCTCAAAAGAAAAAATTAAAATTTTCTTTCTTAACCGAAACTTTTAATTTTTTCCTTTTCAAGTCCTCACATTTTTCTTTCCTTTTTCAATTTTTACTTTTTAAAATTCATCTTTTTAATGTGCATGTTTGAATAAATTTTTTTTTCTTCTTCTTTTGTATTTTATATTTGTAATGTTTATATATATATATTTTGCATGGTGCCCAATCCTGACTTTGTCACTGTGCACAACTCAATGATCTCATAACATACATTGCACAAAGAAATAGGACTACAATGAACAACTGATGTAGGGGAATCATTTTTGGGAAGTAAAGCAAGATTGGTACGATTCATAATTCAAGGTATCCAGGATGTATAAAACTAGTCACAGCTGAAATAACATTTTACTTTACAATAAGTTAAAAATTTTGATAGAAAAGAACGGGTTGAATATGGGTGACATCTTATATTTGTTGATTTAATTTCGCCGATATTTAATATTGTCCAATCCGATTTAACCCACCCGTTTTACTGAACCCTCGTTTCCTCCTCCTGCCAGCAACCATTACTATCCGCTATGCCAGAAATAAAAATGTCTGCCCTTGCTTACCAATGGTTGTTACATTGAAGAAGAGCCACTGAATTCGAAATTTTTTGAAACCAATACAGCTCCTCTTGATTCTAGTAAATATATATATATATATTTCTCTACCTGTTTAATTAGTTCATGATTGTAGTCACGAACCTGCTCCCTGAGAAGCTTGAGCCATCTTCCTTCCACATTAAAGCTATGCCACCTGCACTGTCGTTTGGGTCAATCAACAGCCCATTTACACATGCCCAATTTCCAATGGATTTGTTTGAAGTTTCATCGAATTGTTCTTAGTTTCCAAAAGTGCAACCACATGTGGAGAATGTTGAAGCACCAATTTCTCTAATTGACGAATGGGGGTTTCTCACTCCCCGGCAATTCCAACATAGAAGCTTCATAGTGTAGGTTAGGGTTTGAGATTCCTTGGTGTAGGGGTTCTTTTATTTTTTCTCTAAATTCCTTCTCTCTATCTATCTTCCACTTCTGTTAAAATGATAGGTTCCTTAATGATATACTCTGTAATTCTTTGAATCAACTTTTATTCTCTACATATTTCTTTTGCTTTTTCCCCCAGAAACTTTTTTTCCCTAAATTCATGGGATTAGGTTTACATACACAGAAATTATTAGATGGTCCTAGTCTATTTGACACTTGGTGGACTACTTCAATGAAAATCATCCGATCATAAAACTTTGTAATTTATTAATACACTCTTATGGAACTATTTTTTCAATCCGAGAGTCTGTATTTAACTGGTCTATCAAGTATTAATGGTTCAGGACCATCTAATAATTTCTGATAGATAATTAAGAACATTTTAATTGAATTCATTTTACAATTTAAAATTATTAATAAAATTAAATTTTTTTTTTTTTTTTTATACAAAGAGGAAAAGTTAGAATAATAATCAATAATGTTGGTTATATACCATTGTCGTTTATTTTGCTCACCATGTATTCACAATTCTATTTATACAAAGGCTTCAACCAAGTTGATCATTAACACATCCTAACACTTCACCCAAGTAGATCATTCATACATGTTGCACTTCACCCAAGTAGATCATTCATACATGTTGCTTAGAAGTTACAAATGATGCCGACACTTATTTATAGACTTCTTGTGAATAGGATGCATCATGCATTGCAATGAAAATTTAAGAAACTCTTCACTAAAATATCTACGAATTTACAAAACTCTTTGCACTTCCAAAACATTTTACACTATAAACATCTACTAGCTTTTTAATATTTTAAAATATTCCATTTAGGGGTGAGGCATAAATACTCGATGGGGCCAAAGTACTATATATAAAAAATTATATAAAAAAATTATATTATGTTTTATAAATACAAATATATATTATTGCCAACATGTCTATAAACTGTTAAATTGAGAGGATAATCTTCGTAACATTGCAACTCAATAGTCAAAGAGGGCAAGTTCAGTGAGTGCACCTTCATATCACAGATTTTTTACTATTTTTAATATAATTGAAATAATGAGAAACTTATAGCCTATAAAATTTAGAATAAACGTCTTAAATAAATAACATGAAGAAACTAATATGAAAAGGCCAAAAAAAAAAATTATTTTTTACTCTCTCAAATTCATATAGATAATAGGTATTTTATA